GTGACTCTCCTTTCACTGGTGCTTTGAAGCAGTTGCAAATTTAGCATCCCCTCTCCCTTGACCCTGCAGCACTGCTGATCTGATGTTAAATAGCCTCCAAGTAACAGAGAAACAGGCCTTTATTTCCCCTGCAGGTTATATTAGTTATAGACAGGTTTGGAAGTTTGGGTTTGTTTGGTTTTTTTCCTTAAATGAAGTGCCTCGTCTATGTGTTCCTGCTGCAATGTGTTTTCCCTTTCTGCCTTGACTTTCCTCCCAGAGGTCCAGTTTTATTTAACATCTCTAATTTAATGATGTGGAAGGGGGAGGAAACCAGCCTGCTAATGAAATTTGCAGAGAGCTAACAAACTGGCCAGCTCTGCAAACATTGCTCAAGACTGAAAAGACAACACAGGAGGGGGAGGTCAGGAACCGGAGTGGGTATATCCCAGGGTGGGCCTTGGCCTGGGAAATTGCAGGCTAATGATCCCAGGGCAGAAAGGGTCTGTGGGGCGTGGTAAGATGGTAAACATGGTAAACTCCAACCTGCTAAGGGTGGAGTTCACCCAGAGCTTCACACCTTGTGCAGGGCTAGCTCTTCCTGCAGTGCGGGGGCCAAAGAGGTAGCAGCATTCACCGGAGCTAAAACATTAGCAGAGAGGGGAGGAGAGAAACCAACACAACAACATCTGCCTGGCTCTGTCAGCCAGCACACAGCCTGAAAAACGTGCATCTTGACAGGGTTTTTATGCCCCGACTTACCCCTCTGGCATTGCTCCAGCAACCCTGCCTCTGTGGAGAGTTTCAGCAGAGTGAAGAAGCTCCTGGGCTACACCGATGCTGACTTGGGACACGAGCCAGGTTCTCTCCTTGGTGCTGTGTCCTCACCCCCACTCCCAGTGGGACACAGGTCCACAGCACAGGGAGCCGCGTCTCTGCAGATCCTCACCACATCCCTCAGGTACGGCTTGCACGATCTGGCTGGAGGGATCTGCTCCTTGCCCGATGATGGCTGCGTGCTTTTCCAACATGAAGAAGGGCTGTCAGGACACCTGTGGCAGAGTCCCCGAGGGACACCGCTAGCCAGGCTTGGCTGGCCCCCTCGCCACTACAGGGCTTTGCTCTCTCCCGCTTTGCTCCACATCAACAGGACTTACTTGTGATGCTAAGATAATTCCCAGGGATTTCGGAGCTAATTTCATTTGATCTGGCTTGTTAATTCCCACGTCAATCGCTGATTAAAGGCCACATGTCAGAGATCTGGAAACTCACTTGCGGGTTTCTCAGCGGGACCCTTTGCGTAACCGTGGGGATTGCAGGGTCCCGGCATCCATGGCTGCCGCCGCTCGACACGGTTATGCCGAGGGTGGCAGGCTGCCATCAGCTGTGTAGGAGAGAGCAGGCGAGGAGGCAAGTAGCAGGGGCAGTTGGGGGTCCTCAGGTCCTGCGGTGCTCACGAGCACTCTGCTGTCCCTCACAAGGCTCCCCCAGGGACAGATTTACTGGGTAGAGCTAAGGGGACTCTCACCCCTCATTAGGATCAGTATCACTTGTGATAGCCAGGGCCACTAACCAGCAGAGCCCCACTTTGGTCAGCACATAGCAGATAAAACAAGAACAAAAATCCTTGATTTCTGAGCTGTCTTAAACTCCTTCAGTTACAAAGAAAGGAAAAGCTGGAAACAAAAAGGATTTTTTATTTCACACCTCTCAAAATGTTTTGATATTTTCTAAATGAAAAGTTTTTCCAAAGTTTTGATACTGAAAAAACAACCACCACCCTAACAATTCAGCAAAACATGTTTGCAAAGTGTTTCAATGCTACCACACTTGCATTTTTCTCTGAAAAAGCAGCTTTGGTGCAAAAACTTCACTTAGCTCCAGCCTCATCCAGTTTCAGCATCACACAGAGGTATCACCTCCCTTTCTCTGTAAACTATTATCACATCCTCCACATAACAGCAACTTGCACCTTGTATTCCAGCACTTGGGTACGGAAAACAGCAAGGGACATTATTCCATCTGTATTCTCTCATTATTCCTGCTCCTTGAATATATTGAAGCTGTGGCCAAAAGAAGAAATTGCAAGGCTCTTCCCATTTTGCAAGGAGCCTAGCAATTGCCCAATAAATCTCCATCTGCAGAAGTATTAGTCACCCATGCCAAGGGAAGAAGCAAGGGTTTGAATGACTGAGACTCTCCCATTTTGCCTCTGTGAGCGCAGGAACAATACAAGCCGAGCCACAAAAAGCCGTGGCTCAGCAGAGTGATAAAGGAACCAGCCTCGCAGAGAGTCTTCCCACCTCCTACCAAGGGCCCTGCTGTTTCCTTTTCAGCTCAGTGATTCTTCCATGAGAAAATGCCCTGGGAAACTGATTCTTCAGCGTGGGGGGACTTTTTGTTCATGATGCCCTAAACCAGAGTCATCATACGCCTTTCCTTCCAGACGGGAAAACAGAATCTTCCTAAGACGTCAGAGGAAGGCCCCTGGGAACTGCTTCTCTTCCCCCCACCCATCCAGTAAGTTACATGGCCCCCAGAAGGCAAATTAATACCCCCACATACACTGTGGGCTAAAATTGTCTTGAGTATGATCTGTGCATCCACTGGCATGGCAGAAAGCTCTGAAAAAAAAGACACAGCAAAATCCAGCGGCTGAAAATTGAAGCGAGTCCAATTTTAGCTACAGTGTGTACTTAAAAAGAAAAAAAGAAATCCAGGGAGGATAGGCAGTCTGGGGATATGTGTTTTTAAACAAAGATTGGGTACATTTTTAACATGCACTTTAGCTTAAGCAGAGTTATAAATGAGATGTAGAAACTACTGAGTAAAGTTCTCTGGCTTGTCTCATGCGGCCCAGGGTGGGTTTAGAGCTTTGTGTGAACCAAAAGCCCCAATTCCCTGTTCATTGCTAAAGTGCACTCATTTTATACCAGCGCAACAGTTCGTGAGCAAAATCCTTACAGGTGCCTGGAAACAGGATGCCGATTGCTGCAGGCTCAGCAGTGGCGAGCCCGTGTTACACCCAGGACCTGAAGCTCTTTTTGCAGCACAGAAGATACACGGGGTGTCTGAGCCTGGGGTGTGTGGGATGCCAGTCTCCCCAGCAGGACTCGGCCTCTAAGACACCGGCCCGGGAGTTGCTCTTGACAATCTCTAGTTAACAGCAGGGATGCTCATCAGGAGGCAGCCCCCTCAGCAGCGCCTGCTCTACCCAGAAAGGATGCTCCAGGTCCAGCATCTTTCTTTCACCCCCCCTCTGTGCCTCCACAGGACCCACAGTAGCAGCTGAGCTCGCTGGGGAGAGCGGAGGGCTCTCATGGGCATTGGCAGAGCTTGGCTCAGAGCTGTGGTACTAATGCAAGGGCTCCTGCTCTCTCGAGTAATTTCACTCCCTGCTGCACTGGGAGCAGGTGCCCTGGAGACCTCTTTGCTGACGGCCCAGCAGAAATCGCAAGCCAGGGATTTCGCTGCCTGGAGAGCCGTTTTGCCTCATTTCTGAGGAACGATTCGCTTTGCCTGCAGGAAAGCAGTGGGATTCCAAGCAGGAGGAGGAGGCTGAGGTGAGAAAGCGTGAGATACAAGGTCCAAATGCGACTGGGAAAAAAAAAACCAAAACCCAGCATTGTGCCCCCTCTCTCCAATTTGTTATCTGCTCTGGTTTAAAAAGCTCTGATTGTTTACCACAACGCTGATCAAAAGGGAGCCAGCCAACCTTACATGATGTCAGCTCTGCCTGAGCCTTTGCAAAGGGTGGCACTGTGATCCTCCAAGCCTTCATGTTGTGAAGCAAGGGAAGTGCAAGGGAAGCAAGGGAAATAACGACTGTGCAGGGGGCAGGGATGGGTCCCCAGGACTTTGTGTCAGGCTTGGTCCAAACCTTCAGTGCTTGCATTTGCCAGTAAGCAAAAATGTGTACCAAGGAGGCTGCAAAAGGCAATACACAGGAGACGGGTTTCACGTCGGAAAGGCTGATGCAACATCACACGTTGTAGGAGTCTCTTAATCCACCACTTAATCCAGTACCAGGAGCACAACCTTTTACAATATGCTATTAGGAAACAGAGCTGCCTGATAAGGTTAGAGCCTGCTGGCTAAATAAAACCAAACACCTTGTTTCGTTAGGTACCTCTCCCGCCTCCAGCAACAGCGTCGACCCCACCTTGGAACTCCACTGCCTGATGAGGACTACAGCATTGCAGGGCGTTAATCCTACAGGGAGGAGAGGAGCAAAATGTGTCAGCTTCCTACATGCGAGGATGAAGGCGATGGACTGGAAACCGTGCCAGTACCCATCCCTTCCAAAACAATGCCTGACGCTCCCGAGTTAGAAAGGAAATGCTCCCTAATGATGTGGCGTGGGAACTCTGCCCCACGGCCTGACCCCATTGTTTTCATGCGAGAGCCCTGGAGCAGCTCCACAGCGCACGTACCATCAATCCTTCAGCACTGCAGGGAGATTTTTGGATGGACAGGCGCCCAGGCTCGGAGTGACCTTGCTTCAGGGAATTAAGCCAGAGAAATGAGTGTGAATTCAAGTACTTTCCATCCACAGCAACTCTGCAGAGCTCTCGGGGAGCTAGAGGTTGTCTTATTTAATTATGGGAAAGCAAGAGATAAGGGAAAGACTTGTTCATTGGTAGCGGACTTTCAGAGAAGCAAGGCATCCAGTCTACTGATGTCTGTTTTGACTCTTAGTCTGTGCTGCTTTTCACAGTTCCTGTACCTAAAATAAAAGGAAACTGGGAAAAAAAATTCCTCTTGAAGGTGCGGAGAGCCTGCATTTCTCTCCTGGATGCCTGCACCCTCGCAGGAGGCAGGGGCTGGGATTACAGCTCTCGCCCTGCTTGTCTCCACCTTCCACAGAGCCAGGGTACGGGAAGCAGAGCGAGCACTTTCTGGTCTAGCTCGCATGCCTAGGAGGATGCCAACAACCCTCCTCTGCTCCCAGGTCTGCTCCACAGTTACAATTATCTTGTTTCTTTTCAAATCCAACATGTTTTATTACTGCTAGAATTATTTTTATTGTTAAAAAAAAAATCACAACACTTTTCCAGTTCACAACTTGGGAGCAAAAACAGGGGCATGGAGTTGTGTTTGTTTCTTAAGGTAAACAGAAGCTAATAAAGAAGATTAAGAATGTAATTACACCTTAGTGGCATTACGAAAGGGATATTAGGAATCATTTAATAGACAAGAGGTTCAGTCAAAATGGGTTATTTAATAGGACTCAAAATATACAGACAACTGAGCAAAGCAAAGGGCTTCTAGTGCCCATCAGCTTCACCTTCCAGAGATGCACACAAAAGTCTGGGCCAGGATCATTAGATGTTCATTAGGGGACTCATATCGCGTGTTTTGACAAATCGACTAAAAGCACATCTTTCCCACAGGCCGGCAGAGCTGCAGAGACTCGGTGCTTCTGTAGCCACATTTTTCCCAGGCTCTCCTGCAGGTTACAATTCCAATTACGCAGCCATGTCCTGTTCAGAGCTGTGTTTGTGAGAAGACAATGAGGGTGCTGCAGTCTGGGGCATGTCCTGGTTCATCAGGGCAGATGCCAACTCCAGCATTCACTGCCCAGATGCTTCTCGTGCCCATTAAGGTTCCTGGCATGGATGGGGGAAGCTACGACAGCAGCGCAGTGCAGGAACGTCCAGTTCTGCTCCAAAGCCAAGTTCATGGAAGCTCCGGATGGGCGAGACAGCAATTTCTCCAAGATTCACCGTCTGCTGCTTGACCTTGGCGTAACTTGAGAGCTCTCAGTGCTTTGGCCACGGAACCCCGAAGCTGTAACTTCCTCGAGGAAGCTGCCAAGCAAAGTTAAGGTTAGCAGAGACAAGGACCAGCTTTTCACTCATGCAGATAGAAAGTAACCACATGGCCCGGCCTTAAGCCTTTGAACAAAACCAACAAGTGCTCTACAACCTCAGAGCTATGTAAACATCTGTTTTCTCCCCTGGTGTCACCAGGATGGGGGGACAGAGCCACTCCTTCATATGTGGTGACGGTGGCAAAGAGGACAAGACCTGCCCACAACAGCATGTGATCCAACAAAAAAACCCACCCAGAACAGGGATCCCGGTCCCAACGGTGATGCTCCTTCTCCTCATCAGGCTCACATTAAACTCAGCAGCTCGCTCCCCAAGGAGGCAGCAGCGAGGAAGTGACAGGGACCGATGGTCCCTGAAGGAGCACGTGACAAAGAGACACTCATCTCCTCTAGTGTAAAGGCAGCATCCTGAGAGCTGGCATCGGGGCTAACCATTTCACTCTGCAGTCGAGGGACAGCGGCAGGGTGGACGGATCACCCTCTGACTGATCTACTCCTCCAGCTGCTTGCAAGGGGAAATGTCCTCAAACTGAGACAGCTAAAGTTAGGAGACACTAATCCAAGAGGAAATAAGTGAATGGCAGCCTTGGAGAACGCTCCCATTTTCCAGCAACAGATCCTCCCACCAGCCAGGATGAATTCAATGAGGGAGAACAAAGTGCAAAGCTATGGGACTGCAATGATCTGCCCTGGGGACCAAAATCTGGAGCACCAAACTCTGGGACACCCAGCATGGATCACCAGGTCAACATCTTCACTGAACGTGGTCAGTCATCCTTAAATGCTCCACCCCGTCCAGGAGGTCTCTTGTCTCTCCCTGTGCCGTGAACGGTAAGGCTTCCGGAATGAGGGCAGCAGCTCCTCGCGGGCTCAGCTCAGCATCTGGACCGGGCTGGCAGCCCCACTCGCCTTTCAGTAACAAAGCCAGGAAGGCCAGCGTTCAGGCTTGTTTTTCTGCTCACTCTCAGTCTTCCTGTGTGGATGATAAGGCAGGAAGAGGCAGGGTGGAAACCTCCTGCTGAGGCACCCTTGACATTTCACAGCCAGGGCTTTCTGGAAAGCAGCCCTTTGAGCAGCCTAGGTCACTGCTTGTGCCTCACTCCCCAGCTCCTCAGCCTCGTCTAAGGGCTCACATCCACAGCAAGACCCTCCCTCCTATTTCCAGCCTGTTTAGATCACACTCAAATCTAAATAATGAGCCACATGGAAACCTCTGGGCGCTAACCATTCATTCAGTTGGATCTCGAGAAAGTTTTAACCCAGTAAAATGCTTAAGCACACACTCAGCTTCATCCCAGTCTCTCCTCTATGATTTTCCAAGGAAACTTAAGGGAGTTTGGGGGCTAGACCCCAAGGAACTGGTCAATTTGAGACTTACGTACAAGTTTGCCCTATAAAGTCAAGCGAATGGCTCAACCGCAGACCAGAGCAATGGTTCCACACAAAAAACAAAAGGCAACGCATTCAGAGACACGTTTGAATAGGTGAACTGCTTCTCAAGAAAAAAATTGTCAGGTGGAGATCAGCTGCTGGGGGCTGGCGTTGGCCAACTGCAGAGGAAAGAAAGGTCGAAGCAGGCAACGAGCATGCAGCAGTTAACGAAAATGTCTGGGAGTCAGGAGGGCTGGGCTCTGTGTCTTGCTCTGGTTCAGATCCTGAGATCCTGAAATCAGAATTTGCAAGACCGTTCAGTCCTAGCCCAAATCTGTTTCCATTTAAGCCCCATTATGTCTTTAGGAGCGGAGTTAGGCTAAGCATTTGATAGTTTGGAAAGTCCCATTCTGGAATGCTCGTGGTGCGTCTTAAAAGCCTTGTATGGACATGGCTGAAGTCACGATCACTGTGGAGGCAACTCTGCCAGCAAAGAATTTCCCCTGCATGCAGGACTGGGGTTGCATGGTGCTGGGTTAGGTGGCAAGGGAGATGATTTCTACCTTGACGAGTCTGCAAAATGAATTTCACCCATTCTGTCACCAGGCAGTCTTCAAAGGCAAATTTTATCCCTGAAACATGCCACGGCGTTTCATTTTCCAGGCTTACACCTGTCATGAGCACAGATTCGTTTCTTATCTGGGTGGACGGGTATGTGCAGCAAGCTGAGAAGTAGGTATACATACAGAGTGGTATTTGTTGGAGCTGCACCAAGGTCAGCTGCATCACGCCTGCACTCCGGCAGCCTCAGCCCCGCTTCACAGAGCACAGCGGAGCTTAATCCAGCAAAGCACGCCAGAGCAAGGAAGGCTAAACCTTGGGAACACAGTTGTTTAAATAGGTCTAAAAGTGGGTTAAGGTTTGAGACTAATTCAATCCTTTCAAGAGGGAAAAAAAAAACCCTTTGAAAGAATAATGCTTTAAAGCTCCTTGCATTGTTTTTGTTTGATTATAGGCTTTTATATGCCTTCGTACGGCACTCCTGCCTGCAAAAGCCAAACGGGAGCACGGCATACAGAGGTGAGCGCTAGACTAGGACCGAAGCTTGGACCTGGTCCCAGTTTCACCAGCAAGTGACAGCTCACTCCTGCCTTTCACCGCTGCTCCCCACCTCCGTCTTTCAGGTGAGTGGCCTTGTCTGGAGTATACACCGACCAGACTGCCTCCTCCTGTGTGCTGATAACAGCTCCTGAGCAGCTAGGTCTCCGCGCGCCGCTGTAATACAAACACCAGAGCAAGACACCTGCGAGTGAACCTTCACGTGACATCCCTATACATCTGTATGAGAAGTCTCTGAAGCCAAAGGAGCTGTGATGACTGCCCACAAAATGAAGCTCTGGCCCACTGGCATTACTTCATCGGAGCTACTTACACCTGCCGGTCTGTGCAGTTTGGGAGGCAGCTGAATACTTTGCAAAACCACAGCAACGCTCCCACATAAGATCTAACGAGGATACGTTACCAGGAAGATAGTTACTCTGGCAATGCGACACAGTGCTACCAGTTTCTAGGTTGACTCATTCCTTCAATATGCTGATCAAGTTATCTGAGCGTTAGTGCTTTTTTAAAAAAAAAAAAAAAGGTAAAGAAATAAAAATCGGGATATACCACGAATCCTACAAAAATGTGATTCCCCTAAAGCAGGTCTAAAATAGGTCTACCTGCCAAGGTTGTGAATCATGAGGGTTTAAAAAAAAAAATAATTAAAATCTCATGCAAATGCCTGCACCAATTTCCAGATCTCAACACCGCACCGTTTAGAAATACGCATTCTGGGAGGGCAGCAGCCTGATTTATAAGAGGTGTACAGGAACACTGCTTGCGCTATGGTCATTCAGCTCTGTGATTACAGCTAGAGAGCTGTCCCTCCTCCAGTTTTATTTTTAGGCATTAGAGTCAGGCAGACTGAGTTCTTAACAGAGAATGACTTGCTTTTATTTTTAAAGGGGACTCCTGTTTATCTGCTATCTGGAGAGAAAGTTTGTGTGTGTGGAGAGGGAGATGCAGTGACACATTGTCACTTTATACTTCAGGAAGGTCTTAGAAGTGGGCAGCACGACCACGTCTGAGCATCTCCTGCGCAGGAGGTCTCCCCGTCTGGAGTGCAGCTGATGTAAGAGCCAAACTCCCACCTGCGGTGGAGGGGTGAGCTGGAGCACAGTAAAACTGCACCGTGCTGCGGCTGTTGTTATTTCCCAGGACCCTGAGGATCCTGCGAGAAACAGAGGGAGCACCCAGCACAGTGGTCAGAACTACCCCAGCTCTGGCTGGGAAAGCCTCTGATCAGAGTGCAAATACCAAACCACAGGGAGAATTTGAACTGATGTCTCCGCTCTACTCCAAACCCTCCCTCCCTCCATAGTAAGGAGGAACCGTGGCTGGTCCAAACATTCCTCCCAGAGGCACAGGTATCCGGTGACCAGGCTCTGCCGGCTAAGCACACCGCAGCCGCGTTTGGCACAACCAGGCTATTACTGTAACTGGGTAAGTGGGTCAGGCTAGATATCCCCCTGGATTAGTCACAGCAGGTTTGTGCTTAACCTGTGCTCTGGATGAGTCAGCCCCATGCACCAGATGTTCCTCCTGGTCTTGGTCTTCCATTTGTAGTCGATTATTGATCATTTTTTTAACCCTTTCTCCTCCAAACCCAGCAGAATTTCTTTGAAATCCATTTGCCTGTGCAGAAAAAGAATGGAGGTGGTTGCCTGTGGGACTGGTGGTAAAACTGTTTGCCAACAGCAAGGAATCAGCTCCCTCGCGTTGAATTTTCTTTAGGAAGCGGGGGAAGCCAGAGCCACTTCTTTCCAGCTTTCAGCCCAGAGAAGGGGAGCGGTTAGGAGGCGCTACCAGCCACATTAGGCGCTCTGACTTCTTCAATTCAAAGTCCAGTAATTGTGTTCTTGGCTTTTCTCTCCCTGTCCTAACGCCACAGCAAAGCTACTGACTTTAAGAGCTCTTTGCATTCTGCATTTTGGTATGAGCCCGTGACCCTCCACAAATGTTAACTTAAAGAGTGGAGAGCAATTGAAAACCCACAAATTTAACTCCAGCACAGTTTTGCTCAAGTTCATCTGGTTCCTGCAGGTAATTACAGATGTTGCTATGGTCAGTGTTAAGGAATGGCACCAAGTCAAGAAAGAACTCTTCCACCATAAATATAATTTAAATACATAGTAGAATCATAGAATCGTTTAGGTTGGAAAAGACGCTTAAGATCATGGAGTCCAACCCTTAACCTAACACTGCCAAGTCCACCACTACACCATGTCCCGCAGCGCCACATCTACAGGTCTTTTCAATACCTCCAGGGATGGGGACTCCACCACTTCCCTGGGCAGCCTGTTCCAATGCTTGACAACCCTTTCGATGAAGAAATTTTTCCCAATATCCCATCTAAACCTCCCCTGGCACAACTTGAGGCTGTTTCATCTTGTCTTATCGCTTGTTCCTTGGGAGAAGAGACCGACCCCCACCTCGCTACAACCTCCTGTCAGGTAGTT